TTAAAATTCCAGCCTCCTAGATTCCGTGGTTTCCGAGATATTAACTTACTCGTAAGAAACTTTCACAGGGCCGTACGCGTTACCCGCGGGTACGGGGAAGCTGAATTTAAATTTGCGGTGTAGGTGGGGAACGTTCCCCTAAATTTTCAGCTTCCTAGCTTTTGTGGTTCCCGAGTTGAAAGTTGCGGGGGGGTCGTACGCGTTACCCGCGGGTACGGGGAAGCTGAATTTAAATTTGCGGGGTCACACGTGGGTGGGGGAAGTTACCCTAAATTTTCAGCTTCCTAGCTTTTGTGGTTCCCGAGTTGAAAGTTGCGGACAAGTTGCCCCTTAAATTTTCAGCTTCCTAGCTTTTGTGGTTCCCGAGTTGAAAGTTGCGGACAAGTTGCTGCGTTAAATTTTCAGCTTCATAGCTTTTGTGGTTCCCGAGTTGAAAGTTGCGGACAAGTTGCTGCGGGAAACGTTACCCTAAATTTCCAGCTTCCTAGCTTTTGTGGTTCCCGAGTTGAAAGTTGCGGACAAGTTGCTGCGGACACAAACGCATACAACAAACACACAACACAAACAACCCCGTAACAATATGCGTTTTGTACTGCTGTTACACAGCACAAAACGCATAAGAAAGTGCACCAGAGAAAAGTGCATTTTGCAAAGCGCAGAGTAATTTCCAGGAAGGATTATCTCCTTGCCCCTCCTCCTACCGGTTTTGTCTAAGCTCAATCACTACCGTCTAATTTTGGATCAAGAAAATGCTGCAATTTTTAGAAACGAAACTCACCTTTTTTGAAGTGCACTGCTTGCCTGTGCGAGGTTAAATGAGACCAGCTGTCAAAAGTTTTACCGCACTCCTCACACTTTCGTATATCGCTTTTCGGTATATGTTGTAGGTAATGACGTGAGAGGCGATTACGGCCTTTTTCGAGAGTCCCACAGTCAAACCAATTGCAACGATATTCACCCTTTTTATTGTGGTTGCCAAGATGTTTTTTGAAGATAAGGTATTGGTCAAATAATTGGTTGCATCTTCCGCAGATGAATTCTTTGATGGACTTCGATCTGGTGCTTACTGAGAGCAGCGCGGTGCGGATTGGTCCACTTGGAACATCCGTTGCAGCCGTGGACAACCCAGTTCGAACTGAGGTTTGGCTAGAAACTGGCTGAGAGCTGATCACTTTCTTGGTTGGCTTTTTGGGACTGGTTGATTGTTTGGTGATAAAAAGTAGTGGTACGTTCATAATCGGTTTATAAACTGGCACATGATTCACGACGGGCGGAATCGGATTATAGCTGCTCAAAGTACGAATTTTTGATCTCCGTTCTGGCGGTCTGATGACGGTGTATTTGTTTGATGTATTTGACGCAAGATTAGAGGCAGCAGAGCTCACGATGATAGAATTTGATGCTGCCGCACCTCCGGCAGCACTTAGCGATGTGCATGGATCTGTAGAAAAAAATGAATTCGATCCAAGTTTCTGGTTGATGGATGTTGGCATGGAGCATCCATCTGGTCCGCGCAGACAAGTTGCATCTGATCGGAGTTTATCAGCAGTGAAACTTTGCGGATATGTTGAAATTGATTTACTGTCAAACTGAGTAGAGCTCGAAAAAACGTCTTCCGATACACGATTGCTTCTGGATAAATTCACTGAATCTGAACGAAGCTGTGCTGTAACGTAGCTAAGAAGGGAATCGCTGAGCAGCGCTGCTGTCCCATAGGAAGTGATGGGATTCTGCTGGATGTGTTTTAGTTGCTCCAAATCAGCTGCTGACTGCAATCCGCTGAATTTATCGTTTCTCGAAATCAAAGCTGTAAACGTGTCGCTATCAAATCTCGAATTCCACAGTACTGGTTGATCATCCCAGGTTGTAGCTGCAGCTTGGGCGGCATCCGGTTCAGCTGCGCAAAGTGTGGGCTCAAAGTTCGTGACACCTCGCTCAGCGATTAAGTTCTCATTTGGGATTAGGATTTGATCGGGATCGTCGATTGATTCATTCGTTGTTTTCAGCCAGTCTTCAATGAGCCGTTCCAGCCGACAGTAATAAAGCATGTTTTCAACACTAAAAAGATCAGTTTCGATGTTTTCGGCGGGTCTTGCATCTGACTCATCTGTTGCTATATTTCCGGAAGACGCATCTGGAAGAGACAGATAGCTGGTCGTTCCGGTGAAAATGCCTGGAATGGTTTCTGCGACTAGCTGATGCGGCCCATCACCGCTAAGGAGTGAATGGTTGTTGGGTGCAGCTAAAAGGAGGGGGAATGAAACAGATGAAAGTTTGCAGGCAGCGGCAAGCGACATTCGGCCGGCTTTTGCTGCCACAAACTGCCGTCGTTTATCGGTAGTCATACAGATCAGTTGCTGAGACTAATCTTTCATAAATTATGCATGAGCGGTAAGTTATATTCCACATTCAAATTTAACTGCACAGAAATGCAGTTAAGCTTTTTGCTTCATTTGAAGAAAAAAAAGGGAAAAGGATTGCTGAGCATCATGTTTCGAATCCAGTTAGATCATAAGGGGTGCTTGCGAGAGCGAAACTGACCGAAGGTAGCACATACGTCGGACGAATACAAAATACTACAAACCCAGGCTGGAACGCACCAGGCGGGCCGGTGCGATTATGCGTTTTTGCACTTTTCGTGTCGTAGCAAGATCGTAAGAAATCAAAGTAGCTAACCCTGTGAAACACTGGCCCTCGAAGTTCGGGAAGTTGATTGTGCAGCTATGTGGTATGTCAGTTGTAGGTGTCGACTTCAGTGACCCGACAAACGGAAAGTTG